CATAATGTGTAAAAGATCAGATATGTGTTTATGTTGTATACTTTTGACTGGAGCAAATGCACTGGAAATGGCAGCAAGTCCCAAATAAATATCTTTCTACTTTGTAATTTCATAAATACAGAATTATTTGGTCTGATATTACTTCATGATGGGACCTGTGCTGTTTACATCCTGCCAACTTCTGCACTTTATACACTTTAAAATTGAATCTGAATCTTGACGAACAACATTGATCATTTCTGAATCGCGATGCACTTGATTGGTACAGAGCAAGTGAAAAGAGACGTGACTTTCAGCTAAACAAACGTCCTTTATTGTAAATTTGGGAGAGGATAAAATCACTCATTTCATTGTTTTTATTGTTGGATGTTATCAGTCCTCTTGGGGCACTTGTGGCTGTGAAGCACCTCCGGCCAGGACTCTGAATGGGTTGAAAAACATTGCTCTGACCTGGTCTCTGTCCTCTGCACTGACCCTGAGTGTGTCCAGGCTCCGGCGGTAATCGGCACAAACCTTTCATTTAGCCGGAGCGGTCCACGGCCGCAGTAGAGCCTGATGCTGGACCAGAGCTGTGGCTGCTGAAGGGGAGTGGATGCGGGGAGGATGGGGGGTTAAGGTCTGGCATCTCCCAAATACTGCACCATAAGTACAGGCCCCAGAGAGACAGACCACAGAGCAGGAGCTACAGCTGGAGCTCCGGCTGAAGGCCACTGTGGGAAAAACCAAGGTCGCTCTGAGAAAACAGGGCAGTAAAACCCATGTGGAGCGACGTGAACGGAGTTAAACTCAAGTGTTTGTTTGTGGAAGGCAAGGCAAGTTTATTTGTATAACACAATTCACACAACACAAGGCAACTCAAAGTGCTGAACAAAACAAGAAAGCATTAAAATCATAAATAATCACAGAACATTACAAAGGAAGATAAAAATATAAAATCCCTCAGTTGTATGCACAGCTAAACAGAACTGTCTTTAACCTGGTTTTAAACATTGTCAGAGAGGAGGCCTGTCTCACATCTTCAGGAAGACTGTTCCAGATTTTAGCAGCATGAATCTGAAAAGCAGCCTCCCCATGTTTAGTTCTGACTCTGGGCACTAACAGGAGTCCAGTCCCTGTGCTCCTCAGAGTCCCAGCAGGAGTCCAGTCCCTGTGCTCCTCAGAGTCCCAGCAGGAGTCCAGTCCCTGTGCTCCTCAGAGTCCCAGCAGGAGGCCAGTCCCTGTGCTCCTCAGAGTCCCAGCAGGAGGCCAGTCCCTGTGCTCCTCAGAGTCCTAGCAGGAGGCCAGTCCCTGTGCTCCTCAGAGTCCCAGCAGGAGGCCAGTCCCTGTGCTCCTCAGAGTCCCAGCAGGAGGCCAGTCCCTGTGCTCCTCAGAGTCCCAGCAGGAGGCCAGTCCCTGTGCTCCTCAGAGTCCCAGCAGGAGGCCAGTCCCTGTGCTCCTCAGAGTCCCAGCAGGAGGCCAGTCCCTATGCTCCTCAGAGTCCCTGTAGGAGGCCAGTCCCTGTGCTCCTCAGAGTCCCAGCAGGAGTCCAGTCCCTGTGCTCCTCAGAGTCCCAGCAGGAGTCCAGTCCCTGTGCTCCTCAGAGTCCCAGCAGGAGTCCAGTCCCTGTGCTCCTCAGAGTCCGGGCTGGTTCATATGGTACTAACATGTCACTAATATATTTTGGTGCGAGGCCATGGAGAGACTTGTAACAAGCAGAGCTGTTTTAAAGTCTATTCTCTGAGCCACAGGAAGCCAGTGCAGAGACCTGAGGACTGGACTAATGTGGTCGTACTTCCTGGTTCTAGTCAGGACTAATGCGGTCGTACTTCCTGGTTCTAGTCAGGACTTATGTGGTCGTACTTCCAGACCAGAGAGAGACCAGAGAGAGAGACCAGAGAGAGACCAGAGAGAGAGAGACCAGAGAGACCAGAGAGACCAGAGAGAGACCAGAGAGACCAGAGAGAGACCACAGAAAGACCAGAGAGAGACCAGAGAGAGACCAGAGAGAGAGACCAGAGAGAGACCAGAGAGAGAGACCAGAGAGACCGGAGAGAGAGACCAGAGAGAGACCAGAGAGAGAGACCAGAGAGAGACCAGAGAGAGAGACCAGAGAGACCGGAGAGAGAGACCAGAGAGAGACCAGAGAGAGAGACCAGAGAGATTAGAGAGAGACCAGAGAGAGACCAGAGAGAGAGACCAGAGAGAGACCAGAGAGAGAGACCAGAGAGAGACCAGAGAGAGAGACCAGAGAGAGACCAGAGAGAGACCAGAGAGAGACTAACTCAGTTGTGCTAACTCAGTTGTGCTAACTCAGCTGTGCTAACGACGGACCTGTAGATTTCTCACGAAAGTGGGGGCTAGTGGTCCGCTGTGATTGGTCACAATCTGCGACCTGAAACACATCTCTTACTTGTTTCATCAAAACTCGATCTAAAATATAATGTCACGGCAGCACAAATCTGCGCTACTTATTCTTCAAAAGGACATATGTCCCAATGCACTGCACGGACATGGATTGCATTTTCGTAATTAATACAAAAATAAAGACCCTGTCAAGTACACAGGGTCTACACCACGACTGTAAACCATGTAGTTGTAGCTTGCGGCCAGTAGGGGGCAGTGGAAAGAAAGAAGGCCAAAGACGGGAAAGAACCAACATCATTATTTAACAGCAGAAGAGAAACGGGAAAGTGAAACTACAGAGACCAGAGAAAGATCAGAGAGACCAGAGAGAGACCAGAGAGAGAGACCAGAGAGAGACCAGAGAGACCAGAGAGAGAGGCCAGAGAAGGACCAGAGAGAGAGACCAGAGAGAGACCAGAGAGAGACCAGAGAGACCAGAGAGAGAGAGACCAGAGAGACCAGAGAGAGACCAGAGAGAGAGACCAGAGAGAGACCAGAGAGAGACCAGAGAGACCAGAGAGAGAGGCCAGAGAAGGACCAGAGAGAGAGACCAGAGAGAGACCAGAGAGAGACCAGAGAGACCAGAGAGAGAGAGACCAGAGAGACCAGAGAGAGACCAGAGAGAGAGACCAGAGAGAGACCAGAGAGAGACCAGAGAGAGACCAGAGAGAGAGACCAGAGAAGGACCAGAGAGAGAGACCAGAGAAGGACCAGAGAGAGAGACCAGAGAGAGACCAGAGAGACCAGAGAGAGGCCAGAGAGAGAGACCAGAGAGAGAGACCAGAGAAGGACCAGAGAGAGAGAGACCAGAGAGAGACCAGAGAGAGACCAGAGAGACCAGAGAGAGACCAGAGAGAGAGACCAGAGAGAGACCAGAGAAAGACCAGAGACAGACCAGAGAGAGAGACCAGAGAGAGACCAGAGAGAGAGACCAGAGAGACCAGAGAGACCAGAGAGAGACCAGAGAGACCAGAGAGAGACCAGAGAGAGAGACCAGAGAGAGAGACCAGAGAGAGAGACCAGAGAGAGACCAGAGAGAGACCAGAGAGATCAGAGAGAGACCAGAGAGAGAGACCAGAGAGAGACCAGAGAAAGACCAGAGAGAGACCAGAGAGAGAGACCAGAGAGAGACCAGAGAGAGAGACCAGAGAGACCAGAGAGACCAGAGAGAGACCAGAGAGAGACCAGAGAGAGAGACCAGAGAGACCAGAGAGACCAGAGAGAGACCAGAGAGAGACCAGAGAAAGACCAGAGAGAGACCAGAGAGAGAGACCAGAGAGAGACCAGAGAGACCGGAGAGAGAGACCAGAGAGAGACCAGAGAGAGAGACCAGAGAGACCGGAGAGAGAGACCAGAGAGAGACCAGAGAGAGAGACCAGAGAGATTAGAGAGAGACCAGAGAGAGACCAGAGAGACCAGAGAGAGACCAGAGACAGACCAGAGAGAGACCAGAGAGAGACCAGAAAGAGACCAGAGAGAGACCAGAGTGAGTACGACATTGTAAGTCTCGTTTGAACTCCCTACAGCTCCGTCTGATAAATCTTTTTTTTTTAACTGGGCTGGCTATTGTAGTCTTTTACGTGGTGTTTGCCCTCTTGTGGACACTCTATAGCATAACACTCCTCGATAGTGTTTAGTTTGTAAATGTTTATTATGATCTCAACATAACCATTTACCTGTTTCCGCACAGCCAGACACATCTTGGGACCTCGTCACCACTGTACGTTGTTCACACTGAATGCTCCGATTGATTTTTCTTTATTTCTTCAGAATTCCTTCTGAGACTGATATTCCACTCAAACATATTAACTCATATTCTGTCAGGGACTTTTTTGGCTCCATCAGATAAAAAGTTCCCGGACCTGGCTTTAGAACATTAAGATTCCATGAGGTCATGTTCCGGATTCTACCCATCGCCATAGCAACAGAAACCTTTGATCTTTATGATAATGGTTACCATAGTAACCTTTGTGACATCACCACGTTCTGTCTTGAGTCAGACATGGCTTTAGGGTTAGTGCGACTGAGATATTAAGGGGACCCAGGGAGGCCTTATCGTCAGCAGGGAGGGAAGTATTTAGTTTGAGGTGAGGCAGTTGTTGAAGATGTTTTAAATACAGATTTAATATTATTAATTCAGAATGGATTCGGATATCCAAAGATTGAATTTGGAAAAAGAGAGTCTGCAGTTAGAGTTCTCAGCTGTAACAGATAAATATGTAGAGCTTCAAAAAGAATCTGAGGAAGAGGTTAAAGCAGCAGAGACATGCTTTGCTTCTCGACATAGATGGCTAAAGAACAAATGGAAGAGAGAGTTAGATGAACTGAAGGCTCAGGAACAGCAGCTGTCCACTGAGTTAGAGGAGGAAAGGAGCAGGACGCCGGTCTGTGCAGAGAGAGGTGTGGAGACCCAGGTAGGGCCGAGCCATGAAGGGCCGAGCCATGTAGGGCCGAGCCATGTAGGGCCGACCCAGGTAGGACAGACCCAGGTAGGACCGACCCAGTGCACAGACGTCGCTGTACAGGTCGGGTTTGAAGTTCAGGAGACAGCCACACAAGTCCAGTCAGAGGCAACATTTACAGATCAATCTGTACAAACGGAGGTGGCGTCTGTAGAGATGGGGACACAGACAGATGTTTCTGGGATGTTTCCGGCTGGACAGAGGTCAGAAGATGGTGCTGCTTCAGACCCCCTGCAGGCACAGCTCAGGGTCAGTGACTTGAGGCGACGCCTTGACGATTCAGATACGCAGCTTCGTCAGCTCGAGACTATCACAAGTGAGAGAGATGAATCCATCAGGAGGTTGAGGGACCAGGAGCAGGCGGTCAGAGTGGAGCCTCCTGCGCGAATGGAGGAGTCCGACGAAGTCCCTGAAGTCGAAGTAGAAAATGGAGGAGGCTTCTGGTCTACTTTCAGATCCGGAGCAAAGAAAGTGGTCACAGCAAGTTTGTGGGCTGTGCCTGCTGTGGTTGTTGGGTATGGTATATACTCTCTCACCTGTTAAGGGGCGAGCCACTTACCTTGTCCCGTTTAAGGGTCAAGGTTGGTAAGTGTGCGTGTGTGTGTGTGTGTGTGTGTGTGTCTGTGTGTGTGTGTGCGTGTGCGTGTGTGTGCGTGTGCGTGTGCGTGTGTGCGTGTGCGTGTGCTTGTGTGTGTGTGTGTGTGTGTGTGTGTGTGTGTGTGTGTGAATGAGTGAGTGGTTTCTGCGATGGCCACGCTGTGCATTCGCTCAATAGACAAATCTCTGTCAGTTGTTCACAAATGGGTCATAAGACACATGTGGGATCACTGTGTGACAGAGTTGGGTCCATGGAGCATTTGCACAGAGGGGTCGGGCTGAAACACTCAGACTGTACGAATAACTTCTTAAGGATTTATTTATACAGTCGTGTGTGAATGTTTTTTACGAGCTTGGGACCAAAAAGACTCCACACTTCATTGGGAAGTTTAAAAGTTACATTCATGCGATCATGTGATTTATAAACTATTCTCTTTGAAAGTCCAGAAACAGAGAAAACACTCTGAGGCGTCCGGAACAACACACAATACGACCAGACAACTAAACAATAACGGGCATGATTCCTTTTCTCCCGTCACACATTCATTCATTTTTATCCCTTTATTATCCATTTCCTGGTCACGGGGGGGGTGGCAATCAGAGCTGCCCCCAATTCACACAGCACCAGTCCCTCTGGTCCTCTGCGGGGGGGGGGGGGGTCCACAGGAAGATGGCTGCTCCTTCAACACAGATACGGCCTTGATCTTTCAGCGTGGTGGGATCAAACCCACGACTATTAGGTCCAAAGACCAACGACCAACTGAGCTTCTGTCGTCCACACTGGAAGTATTAGGGGGAATAAGTGTTACATGGGATCCAGCCCGAACCAGGGGCGACCCGCCTCGCCACCTGGAGCTATTATTGGAAAAAAACAATAAAAATGAATAAAATGAAATAGATTGGATTTTTTTCTCTCTCAACGTGGCTTCAACCGAATGTCATGGTTTTCATGTTTAGTTCCTGTTTTATTTTGTGAATGTCTTTTCTTCTGTGTCTTTTTGAGTTTTCCTGTTCTGTTGATTGCCTGCCCCGCAGTGTTTCACCTGTGTCTTAAATTCCCTGTGTTCTTTCCCTCTTTTTCCTCTTCTCTCAGTGGTTCTTGTCTTTATCTTCAGTCCCTGTGTTTTTAGAGTTTTTATTTTTGAATTATTGTTTATTGAAGTCTATTATTTTTGCAGTATTGAATTTTGGGTCCTTCCTCCTTTCCACCACGTAACTACAGAATGGACTGACCAAACCGGGACTCATCAAACTGTATTTTTTTTTCTACACCTGGTCCCCCACTCACTAGTTTCTTGTAAGTCTGCTGCCCAGTGCTGACCCTCCCTTTCCTGAAGCCACCACCGGACAAGTTTCTCCATCTGGGGGGGTCCTGTCCATAGACTGTAAATAATAACGTAGTCTACCGTTACCCTCTAATGTGCCATAACGTCCGCGGTCTATGGGCAGTTTTAATTTGCCGCGGGGCCTGGAAAATGGGAAAAAAACACATCTGCGCATGCGTCAGCTGCACGAGCCCCATTCATTTAACGAGTCACTTCTAAAGTCCACAGCGACTAAACTAGACTGGTCCAGAACACCCCCCTCAGCATTGACACACATGTGAAACGGAGCTTTGGGCCAAGAGCCACTTTTGGACCATCCTGTAAAGACGTTTTCCAGACGTGGGGAACTACGGTTGCAAATTAGCCTATTCCGGGTCCACCCCCACAGGCCCGGGATGGTATTGCAGCATGTCAGCGCACGTCATATTGGCCACTTTTGAGCCGGGACCTGCCCCCACTGGTTCTGTCTCCTTGTTTGAACCATCGATTGGCTTCAGCCATATTTCCGAGTTCCTTGTCAACACTGGGCTCCAGCTCGACACTAACTTGTCTTAGAACAAGTGTGCCTATGTTGCCGCAAGGCTAGCCAGCTACATCTCGGGACCTTCGTTGTTCTTAGTCCAAAAGTGGCTCTTGGTCCAAAGCTTCGATCCAGATGCTGTCAATGCTGAAGGGAGTATATTTTTTTGGACCAGTCTAGTTTAGCTGCTGTGGACTTTTGAATGCACTTGTTAAATTGCGTTTTTTTCACATTTTCCTGCCCCCACAACCATTTTGATAAAGCCACAGAAGGAAAAAGTGACACGTTAGTTCCAACGGTGGATATAGATGTCACTGTGTCTGTTAATATTTGCGCTATGGTCTGTTGTGTGCATGAAGAGTGGTGGGAGGGGCTGATGGCACAGACTGGTTGCCTCGCTTATGTCAGTGTGCCCCAGGGCAGCTGTGTTTTTCATTATATTTAAGCCTGTTATATGTATTCAAGTGTATTCTCAAGCTCATATATGTATAATCTGAGTTGTTTGAGGTCCAATAAAAGGAGCTTCCCTGACAGTGGAGCAGTTTACAGATGTCCGTGTGACCGGTCCTCACAGCGGTCCTGAAATAACACCCGGTCCTCGCTGAGCAACATTTAACCTGCAGTAGATTTTGGTTTTGAAGGATTTCTGCTCCGTTCTTGAGCCTCACGCCTCGAGGCCTCAGTTAGAAATCACACTGTGGACATTTCTATTCCACTTCCCTCTGTCCACCATTTACGCTCTGTCGGACTGCAGCTTTGAGGAGTGTAGAAAGCCAGATTTAACTGCCACATATTACTAATGCAAGGGGCAAAAGGACACAGTTAAAGCAGATAAATGACTAATGCATTTAGGTAAAAATAAAGAACAGGTATACATTTGCATACACAACTATTAAATGTGTCACTCTTGCTAATAATGAAAACAAAACCATTACAATTATATTCCTTTTGGACTAATAAAATCTGACTAAAACATCTTAAAGGAGACATAACATGCTCCTGTGTGCTATTGTGATGATCTAAAACACCAGGCTCAGGATTATACTTTCAGAACGGTTTGAATTTCAATATTTATTAAAACAAATCAAACTTGTCTGAACCTCTGTGTTTCTTATTGTTGCATTTCCTGTGTTGCAACTCAATCAAGTTTACAAAAAATTGACAATTTGGCACAAAAACATCTAAAAGATCTGTGTGAGGGCTGACTCCGCCTACACCCACCTCCAGCTGGGGGTCTTACATGGATCTATTATAATAACAGGATATGGTGTTACCAATTTGGAACTGAAGAACCATGAGCTCAGGGGATTCTCGCGGTACTGCAGACTAAACCAGACTAAACCAGACTAAATTCAGGTGGGCTACCAGAAATTTTCCCCATAGAACTCAATGTAAACTAGAACAGCTCCAGAGAACCTGACAGAGAACCTACTGCTTTCATAAAGGTCTGATTTTGAGGGGATTTGAGTGTTTCTTGTCATCCTGAACCTTTTTTCTTCTTAAACCCCCCCACACACCCCACTGCACCAGTGGCAATGAGTAAAGTGGATTTTAAAGGTAAACTTTGGGCCAAAATCCCACTAGTTAATCTATCTTTTTGTCGATTCAAAAACAGTCATGATTTTCCCTAATTGGAAAACGTTCCTCAAACAATATGAAAAAATCCCTAAATCCCCAGGAAGCCCAGATTACTTATGCATTCAAATCAAATCAATCAATCCAATGTATTTGTTTAAAGCACAATTCATACAGTTTAGCCCAAATTTCTTTAACCGTGAATTAAAATACAGACAATAAAACATAAAAACACTGTATAAAACAAAATGTAAGATAAAAGTTAAGACCATTTAAACTAATAAATGCGTCATATTCTTGTGGTTTTAGACAGTTCATGTATAATTCACAAGTGTATTTTACGACTGCAGCCGTGTGAGTCGTGTGTAAATGTTTTTGATACATTTGACAGTATTTCTCAAAGTACTTTTATGGATATTGTCGGCTCGTAAACACATCTGTATTCTGAGGACGTGTGTTTTTCCTCCGACGTTTCGCTTTCCTCAGACGAGACGAGCTCGTTGGTGCAGATCCAGTATTTAAACGATCTTAGCTTTTTGCAAAACCTCCAAAAAAAGCCACAGACTTCATGAATCATAATTGTGTTAAAATAATCACGGCTAAATAAAGAAGCTCAGTCATTCCCACTGTGCCAATCCAGAAACAGGGATTCAGCAAATATGATGAGGTTTCAGGTTTCAGGTCCCGGATCTGCCTCTGGGCGCCTCGTTCTCTCCATAGTTCAGTATTATCTGACGTTTTTGAATATTTAAAATCAAAAGTCATCCATTGGCTCGCCGTTCTGGAATTTACTTTAAAGTCCGCAGCAAATTTAGCAAATATTTGATTTTTGATTCAAATTTGCTATTTTTGCGACTCAGTGGTGCAGTGGTTAGTGCTTCACCGCAAGAAAGTCCTGGGTTTGATTCCACCTCCCGGTTTTTCTGAATGGAGTTCGCATGTTCTCTTTGTGTCTGTGAGGTTTCCTCCGGGTGCTCCGGTTTCCCCTACCACTAAAAACATGTACAATAGTTCTGGCTAAAGGACTTTGTGACTCTGGTCTTACATACTTACTTTTTTTTGTGCTTAACTAATTCTCACTCGGTTTGTACACGCCAATGATGGGCGGCACAGTGGCTGAGTGGTTAGCACTCTCGCTACTCAGCAAAAAGGGCCTGGGTTCGAATCCCGGTCGGAACAGGGCATTTCTGAGTGGAGTTTGTATGTATCTCCGCCCATCACAATAGAAAATGGGATGTGGGAAACAAACAGGGGACAAAAACTTAAGTGGTTTGCTGTGCAAACATGTAAATAGAATCTAACACACAAGAAAAATGCATTTGAGGGTTCCACTCTGAGGTTAAACACAGAGAGATGACGTGAGGAGGACGGAAGGGATTTGTTCCAATGCCTCAGATTTACTGCACATTTATGTCCTGTTCGATTGCAAAAATTCATAAACCCAACACTCTATAATCCAACATTCTCTATCCCAACATTCTCTAACCCAACATTCTCTATCCCAACATTCTCTATCCCAACATTCT